ATTTCAAAACTGAGCTTGATAAAATATTTATTATGTATATAGCCATGAGAATGGATTTTTCCTAAAAAACTTTTGGCAAATTTGATTCGAGCATTACCATTCTAGCAACCTGTAAAAGATGCTTATGTTTCCTTTCTACCACGCCGTTTTGCTGTGGCATGTAAGCACAAGTTTTATGGTCCACAATGTCTTTCTCTTAAAAAAAATCTTTGCATGATTTATTCACAAATTCAATGTCGTTATCCGTTCTAATAATTTTAATAATTTTTTTAAACTGATTTGACACAATACTGTAAAATTATTTTAAAATATTTGAAACATTGATTTTTTCTTTTAACAAAAAAGTCCAAGTTGTTTTAGAGAAATTATCCACCATAGTTAGGACATAAGAAGCCCCTGAAATAGATTGAACTGAATAAGGACCCCAAAGATCAACATGTATTAATTCAAAGACATCATTGGTAGTAATACTGCTTTTGAAAAAAGGTAATCGTTGTTGTTTGCTAAGGGACATATTTCACAAACATGTGAATCCATTTCGTTTGAAAAATTCAGGGTGGGAATATGAAGTAGCTTGTTCATTGATGTGTAGCCGAGTCTTTTGTGCCAAAGTTGTAGGGTGTGGCTGGTACATGCCTTTTCTGGTTCTATGTCTTTGCTCAGGGTGTACAGGCCTCCCTTTATTCTACCCTTCTTTAATTTTCTGTTAGTCGTCGAGTCCTGCACAAAATAATGGTTTGGATAGAAAGAAATGTAGGTATTTGAAACTTGAGTCATTTTTCTGACAGAGATCAAGTTACATGCAAATTCTAGTATGTAAAGAACATCATATAAGGTCAGGTCATTGCATAGTTTTATGGTGTCTTTATGTGTTGAGTATCTTATAGTTCCATCGGGTAAAGTGACAGGTATTATGGGTTCTACTTTAGTGGTTTTGATGAGCAAACTAAAATCATGACATATGTGTGATGTTGCACCTGTATCAATTATCCATGTATTTGTATCAGCCGAGGTATGTATAAAGTAGCAGTTAGACTGTTTACCTGCAGGGCCAGAGTAACCCACGCATCCTGCTGATTCCATTGTGCCTGCTCCATGATTTTTCATATATTTGCTGATCTCCTGTTGTATGATATTAGTCATTTCTGCATTCCAACTTGATGTGGTCATTGTTTCCCCTTTAATTGTGGAATTTCCATTTGAAATAGCATTTGCCTTTTCTTTTCCTTTTTTTCCTTTGAGTTCAATGAACCATTCAGATAGCCATGGAGTTTAAAGCACTTGTCCCTAGTGTGTCGTGTACTCTTGCAATGAGTGCATATTCTGTTGTCTTTTTTCCTTCTTCGGTTCTGTGGCCTCAAGGTTTCCTTTTGGTTGGCATAGAAAACAGTTGACATCCCCTCGGCTGCATCGTTGATCTGCACTTCTCCTTTCCTCCCAACACTGAGCACCATTGAGTAAGCTTTGTCGACATTGGGTAATGGTTCCATAATCAAGATTTGATTCCTTATATGATCATATGTATCATTAAGACCCATCATAAATTGGATTAAGTTTTTTGTACTGTCTATTTCGTTATACAGGTTAACAACGTTGTAGGTACACGTAGGTAATGGTCTTAAGTAACTTAGTTCATCCCAAAGTTTCTTTAGTTTTGTAAAACAAGCAACAACTGAAAGGCTTGATTGAGTAATTGAGCTAATTTCTCGTTTCAATTGATAGAGCAGAGAACCATTGCTTTCTCCGTACCTTTCCTTGATTTCATCCTACAAATTTTATGCAGATGTGGTGTACAGGAAGGCGCTGGCTAGTTCTTTGGTCATTGAGTTGAGGATCCAGGACACCACCATGCTGTCAGCCTTTTGCCACCTTTCATACTCCGCTGTGTTGGGAATTGGTTTTTCGAATATGCCATCAACGAGAGCTAACTTATCTTCAGCTCTTAGAGCAATCATCATGGCTCGACTCTAGAAGAGATAATTGGAGCCATCAAGGGGTGCAGAGACTAGTTGCATTCCAGGCTTGTCTGAGCTTTGGAGGGTCAGTATATCATTGGCAGTATTTAGGGTGGCTATTGTAAGGGTAGGTTAGTAAAAATTTAAAAGAACTGTGCTTAATACAGGCACTAAGCTCTGATACCATATAAAAAATTGAGAAAGGTAATAAAAGAGTTTTTAAATATTTCTTTTATCCCTTCATTTATCGTGCATAGACATGCATTTATATACATAGAGAGAGAGGGAGAGATTACACTGATCGAGAGAGAAGAAAAACCCTAAGAGATACAGTAACTCAATATTCCATAACCTGCTTTTTTACAGCTGTTCACAATCAAAAAACATCTTTTAATTTCCACCGTCTATCTGTCCTTCATCCCAGCGTGCTTTACATCTGGCCTTCCATTTTCTGCTTTCGATCTTGACCATTCATTTACTTCAAAAACCCTAGCAGCGATATTTTTCAATCTTTTACAATAGCTGATAAGCAAAAGATTGCAGATAAAAGATGAAACAGGTTTCCATAATTGACCTGGCATGCATTGAAAATTCAAGTCTCAACTGAGGACGAGGCAATAACTCCAAATCATAGACAAGCGTAATAGTCCATGATTTTTTCCGATAGTTAACTTACTTGGTTAATTTACTTTTAGAAATGGCTTTCTTCAAACATAATTTACAAGTTGTAGGTGATAACTTATGAAAAGTCAATAAATAAATATTTAACAATATCATACAGTCATCAAAAGACGTACTGTGTATTCAGAGACCAATGCTTAGATAAGGTGTTCTGTTACAATAATTTCTAATTCTGTGACTTGTTTCAAGATCCAGAATACTAGCATGCAAAAGTGATGCTAAAGTAGTGAACGGACAAAAAGTACTACTGCAATAATAACTCAAAATATTCCTACTCAAATTCAATTCAGGTCATAGACCAATCCGGAGCTCAAAAAGAAAATCGTCCCTCCCCAAAACAAAATGATATAGCCAAAATATTATTTCGCATCTGTTAGGGGATTTAGTTTCTGCAAAATGTCCCAAGACCATAAAGTTACTCTCGTCTACTAATCAGCACCAACCCCATTAAAATTGAAAACCTCCTAGACTCACCGATCAATCCAGTTCATTAAAGGTACCAAAAAGAAGGACAACAAAAGTTGACAACAGAACAGAGCACCGGAAGACTAAAGACGCACAGACCATGTTAATGTTATATCATGCGACAAAAACTAAAAAAGAAATATTTAATCAATCAACATTTTCAAAGGTTTATCTTAAAATGGCAAGTATTACCACTTAAAAGAACATTTCTTATCCAATAAACAATTTGTGGTCAATCAGTCTATTGAAAAAAAAATGAACAGAGCGACAGAACTACTTAAAACTACTAAAGTTAGCATCAGATAAACAAAGTTGGTCACAAAGTCAAACCAGATGTACATAATTGAAAACGTACTATATATATAATTCGTATGTATCCGCATTCACATACGCATACAATTTCCAATAATGATCCACAAAGAAAAGAAATGGAAGATGTGTAAGGAGTACCATGAAACAGTTCCACGGCCACTCGGTGCCATCTTTTCTGGTGATCTTGGGCCTTGAGATCCCCCAGTAACTCGACAACATCATCTTATCGCCACTGCTGTCCTTTTTCGCCTGCTCGACCGCCGACTTCTCCTTCTTCACCTCCTCCACCGCCGAGCTCTCCTGGGAGCTCATCATCCTCCTCCAGTTAAACGCTCCAAAATCACCACCCCTTCCCACGTCACTGATCTCCCACGGTCTCACAGTGGCAGTGGTCGCCGCGTACAGCATCCTGTTGCTCCCACCGCAGCTTCTGCTGTTCACCATCAGAGCCCTAATCACAGACCGTGCCACGAACCGATTCATTTTCAGATCTCTCTTCTTAACTTCAAAAACCCAAAATCCACCAG